CAATCAATAAGAACACGAACAGTACGAAAATACAGTGGACGGTGCTGGAGACGAGACGGCTTCGGTGGGAAATACAAGCTGATGCCACAAATATCACTCCGTCCTCGTTTCACCCTGACTCCAAGACACCGCCCTTTGGCCTCCGCTGGGGAAGCCCACGTCTGAATAATGTGTTGCTCCTGGAACCCTTTGCCCAAGATGACCGAACACCCCGTACTCGAGTTACTCAGAGGAGCCGATGGACCAAAGGGAGCCTCAATCACTAAACGTCCCTGAACTCGACGACGTAGGACGACGCTCCCAGAGATATGCTGCCTCCGATCCACCGCCTGGGTTCCAGCTAACAAAATTAGGTCGAAGTTCGACGTCTCCACCACCACTTCTTCAAGCCTATCTCCTGTACATGACTGAGGGTTCCACCCCAAGAGACGAAGTTGTTGCTGTGCCATCACCGCCCTGGGAGGAGCGGCCGCAACTGGGGCATGTGAGGCCCCTTCACGATGTACGATGAAGAAAAGAATCTGCCCCTGGAATGGAAGTCTCGATAGAAAGGGGCTGGAGGAGATGGAGAGGAGAAGGAGGATGACGACGACGACGACGACGACGAAAGCGGGCACTCGAAGAATGGAGGAGACAACAAGGGAGCAGGAACGACGAGGAAGAGGACGAGACGGATGCGGATGAGGAAAAGGATGCGGCACTGGATGGGGGGGTAGGTTGACGAGGGAGGGGGATGAGTGGGAGGAACAGCACTCGGAGGACGGCGAGGAGGAGGAAAAAAAACACGATTGAGGGGGAGGGCGACACGGATGAGGAGAGGGGACAAGAAGAAGATAGGGGGAGGGAAATGAGGGAGGGAAGGAGGGAGAGAGGGAGGGAGATAGGGAGGGAGGGAGGGAGGGAGGGATATGGGGCATGGAGGAGGGGAGGGAAGGGAGGGGATGAGAGAGGGAGGGCGGAAAGGAGGGAGGAATGGCGGGAGGGAACGAAGGAAGGGGAGGGAGGGAGACAGGAATGGCTGGAGGGAGCTGGGGAGGGAGGGAGGGAGGGAGGGAGGGAGGAGGAGGAGGAGGAGGAGGAGGAGGAGATGGCACTGGAGGAGGGCGGAGGGGGAACGGTGGATGAGGGGCGAGGGGGGGGGGAGGCGCTGGAAGGGTGGCGGCACTGGGGGGATGCTACTGGAGGTGGAGGAGGAGGGAGGAGATGAGGGGGGGGGAACAGATGAGGATGCTGGAGGAGGAGGAGGAGGAGGAAGAGGAGGAGGAAGAGGAGGAGGAGGAGGAGGCGGAGCGTACCTGGGGGAGGTCGTCGTCACTCTACTCATCTGCATGCCCTCCGTGCCGCTCTCCCGGAGAGAGCACGCGGCAAGGGCCTTCACAGAGTTGTGGTCGCCTGCTTGCAGCCAAGGGGCCTGAAAAGGAGGCCTGCTCCGCAGCAGACAGCACCCTGATCCCAGCACGGTTGCGGGGCATATCATAATCCACGAATCGAAACCGGGTGAGGTGGGGCGGGGACGAGGCATCATCGGAGCGAAGGGAACGAGGGGGAGAGGGAGCCGACTCAGGCGAAGCTGGAGCTTGAGGCCCGCCAGCAAACATGGCCTGCTCTTCGGCAGTGATCACCCTGATCCCACTGGGATCGCGGGGCAAATCGTAATCAACGAACTGAAATTCGATGAGCTCATCATCGCGACAGGGACTGGGCACTGAGGGGGGATCAGGAGGGATCGAAGAGAGAGATGGCTGAGGCGACGCAAGCAATGGGAGACCTATTACCTCAGAGCCCCGAGCCTCACTCATGGGGTCGTCCTCCTCGTTGGCTCGGCGGGCCGCTTCGATTGCCTCACGCAGGGTGGGCCGACGAAGAAGTGCCAGCTGCTGTCGTCCACGAAGAGGGAGCCTCAGCGCGATCTGCGCAGCAGGGACCAGCTCCAGCGCCCGTGCGTAGGTCGGTGGGGAACTGTGCCGTGCCGCCATCAGCCGATAATGGTGGTAGCAGGCAATGAGAGAGGCCGGAGTCGGCCCCACGAGCCCAAGTCGATGCCGTATCTCGCCAGGGAGATCTTCACGAAGAATGAGGGCGCCGAAGTGCGCACACCGATAGCACTCCACCAGATAATGTCGCATAGTATCGGGACCGCCACAACCATAGATACACCACGCATCTCGCTGCATACGTCGGTGAGTGATCCATCCCCCGAGGTACGACCGCACGCGAATGAACGCCCAAGATGCGGGCATTAGCTGCAGCTGACTGATGACCGTGGGCCAGCACACATTACGAATACCAAAGTGCTTCTGCACACGGGCGGCGAGTAGCTCCTGGAGTCTGTCAGGGAAGACCGCCCGCTGGAAGATGTCGGTGAAAGCCGCCTGCCACTTGGGTGCTCGGGAAAGTGACACACCTTGACCTTCAGCTGGCTCCGCAACACGACGGGCAAGGCTCCATGGGAGCTGACAGGGAGTGGGTCCAGCACGAAAAAACTCGATCACCTCAGCGGGGACGGAAGAGTCGCCGCCTCGCCATAAACTTAATGCCATTTGTCCTCCCGCTTTCAGCAGTTGGGACGATGGAAAGCCCTTCGCTGCCTCTTCCAAGCGGCAGGCAAAAGGTGGGGCCAACCAGAAGTTCGGAGCCAGGACGTCACTGGTAGCTTGGGAGAACGTGCCATATTCCCAAAGAAGATCACGATGTCGTTGCAACTGCGAGCGCCATGTCGAACATGTGATCAGAGCCGCACGAAGACGCGCGGCGGCAGCGATGCAGAAGATCGAGCTGAACCTCGGGCCATTCACCGTGCTCAGCGCGAAGCAGTCACCAGTCCGAAGCATACTAGCGGGAGCACGCATAATGCGGGCAAGCAGAAAGCGCTGCTGTTGCCCAACCCGCCAAGGAAGAGGAACCAGCTGGGCAACGTACGACAGCGTGGGAGCGGCTCTTTGACGATATAGCGCAGCAGCCGTGGAGAGAGCTGCGCCCTGTGACGAAATTGCGGTAGTGCGGGTAGCATGCTTGAGAACAGGAGTCGACCATTGACTGTCATCTGTGGCTCCAGGCCCAATCTGAAAGCCAAGATAAGTGCACGCAGGAACAATCGCGAAATCTGCCCAGGCGGGGTCGGCACCCACAAGTTGGCGTCGAAGTAGGGTTCCGTGTTCGGGCATAGATGGGTCACGCAGAGGTATCACATTGCATTTTGCAGGCTTAAGTCGTAGCTGAGCAAACCTCGAAGCATGTCGAAATACTCGAGCCAAACGTGGATACGCCCTGTTATGGAAGAGGACAGCCCCAAGATCGTCTGCACAGGCACGAATGACACCCAGGGGGCGCCCACGTGCGACCAAACAATGTTCTAGGTCCAGGAGAAACGGGTTGCTCGCGACGACATAAAGCGAACCACTCAATGGACAGCCCTGAAGCACCCCTGAGTTCATGTGGTATAGGTACGTCGGGGAGTCGCCAACGAAGTAGCATGGGGTGCAGTGGTAAAGGGAGCGGAGAGCGCGAACCAGAGGGGCAGGAATCCGAAGTCGGGCGAGACATTGGAATAGCCACTCCTGGGATACCGATGGGAAGGCCTGGGCGAAGTCGAACGCAATCAATGACGGAGCTTGGGAGGATACAGTAGACATAATACTAGCCGAACGAGCGTAGAGGTCCAAATCGACGATATTATCCAAGAAGTTGCGCCTCCGAATGAAGCCCCGTTGTGATGGGGCCCCGATCTTCTGCGTGATCCAGCTCATAGTCTGGTTCAGTACACTGCACACCACTTTATTCGAGGAGTTCTTGAGTCCCAGCGGGCGGGTATCACCAGGGGCCCGTACGACGCCACCATCGTCGGGATCATGGGAGGGGGCCTTTGGGTCCTTGGGGAGGAAGACGGCCAGCAACGCTGTGAAATTGGAAGGCATGAAATTCCCAAGAGCAATCCAGCGAAGAACTTCGAGAAGGACCCTAGACCCCGAACCACATCTCCAGGCCGCATAGTGAAGCCCGTCGGGGCCAGGAGCGGACCAATTCGACTGCTTAAGTGCACGTTCAACATCGCGAAGGACGGGCGGGCGTACTTCTGAGAAGTCCTCTGAGCTGCTGAATCTGTCTATGTATTTCTTGGCGATGGAGGGGACGGAATGGGTCTTGGAGAAAACAGGGCCCCAATATGAGGCCAATGCGTCCACCATCGGGGACTGGGAAGGAGGTGCATGTTCCGCCGCCAGTGAGCCACCCGCCAGCATCTCCGAAACCGAAATCATCTCAGTGGCCGTGACCGATGCTAAATACTTACGCCGAGAAAGTGGGTTCCATAATTGGGCAGATCGAATGACAGCACGACGACGCCCAGCCAGACGAACCCTGACCGTGTTAGATGACGACTGGTTGATCTCTGACTCAAGAGCTTTCCGACGAGATTCAGCTTCTTGCCGCTGCCACAAACTATGAAGATCATGGAAGCCACCAGGATCGATGAAAGAAACATCCTCACCATCTACACGTATGAGCCTCTGCGTCCAGGGGTGCTGGAAGAGAAGAACTCGTGCAAGTCGGGCGTCACCACGCCAGACACATCGTGCAACCGAACGAGCAATCATAGCCCGAGAGGTCAGAGAGGATGGCGCAGCACGGCAGATGGCATTGCGTGCAAGAAGCCCAGCAGCCTGTCGAACAGCGGTGGCAGCAGCGAGCATTCGCGGCGGGTCGAAAGCAAGATCTTCAATGCCCACCTGGGCTTCCATATGGGAGACCAACTGAGCATAAATCTTGTCTTTGTACACCCAACGCGGGAGGGGCCTCTGACGTTTAGTTCTATTGTGATCCCGAGGGCGCCAGACGATCTCCAGCGGCGAGTGGTCCGAAATACCTCGGTGGGCCAACTCATGAGGTTCATCACGGACCGATACTAGCTGAGCAGTTTGACACAGAAGCCATGGTGGGGATGCGACAAAGAGACGATCAATTTTGGACTCACACGCAGTCGAGGCGTGCCAATGGGTTGGCGCCTCCGAGGCGAGCTCCGTCATGTCCCTGAAGATCTTCAGCCAGCTCGAGTCGCCAGGACGGGACGCCCTCGTAGAGCCAACCCGCAGGGTGGAGTCGCGACGCTGGTCCCCACCGGCGTGCGAGGGTGCTGATGTGGGCTGCCCCCTCTGTGAGCCTTCCGTCGACGCAGTACTGGGGGAGGCTGCAGACGGGGGAGAAGATGAAAGAGACGACGCCGAGGAAGGGGTCTGACTCGGAGAACATGGCCCAGAAGGTGAAGTACATGTGGCCACAGTTGTCCCCGACGATGCCGAACGCGGAGAGCATGTGGCCGTGGGGTTGTGACTTTGCAGGGCTGAATCCTGCCCCCCACGGCCCGACGAACATGGAGTACAGGTGTGCCCCTCGCCACGATGATGTTCGATAGGCGTCGCAGGAATGTTGAAGTCGCCCGTGAGGATAACAGCGAACTTCATCGGATCATCCCGCACTCGTCGAAGTTGCGATTGAACACATGCCTGAATCTCCTTCAGGCCGTCGGCGTCAATGGCAAAATTGTGCACATTCCAGTGGTAGATGGTGAAGTCGACCTCTGAATTATGTATAGTAACTAGCAGCACCCGACCAGCGACGAAGCTCTTCCCCTCGGCTCGAACGCTTGGTTGCTTTGGAACGAGGGTGGCGACACCTCCAGTCCGAGGCGTCGCCGACTCAGAAACGAAGCATGAGTGCGTCGTACAGTGAATCCTCTGAAGAGCTTCTTCCATGGCACATTCACCACCGTGGATCTCCTGTAACGCCACTACCTTGCCAGCCCCCAACAGTTTGCTCAGGTAGCTGAGCTTCCTGCTCAAAATCGCTGGTCTGTAGTGTAACAGGGCCCCCGTGTTCCAGGTCGTGAACGCCAGAAATCCCACACCAAACACTTCGTTACCCACTCCACCGTACTTCACGTGTGTCGAAGACCTGGCGAGCAAGCTCATTGGCCTCATCCCTGGACAAGCCAGCGTCGGCCAGTGCAGGGAGATTCCATTCCACCTTCGGCGTTCTGCTTGCAGGTAAAGGGAGCACCCGCACCAAGGGCTCCCACTTGGCCAGAAGTTGACCATTGTCCTTGTCGAGAAATGTACGGATGCCACGGTCGGTGAGACCCCGTTGCAGCTTCTTGCAGGCAATCTCTGTGGCGACCATCTTTTTGTTCTTGTCCGCGGAGACATGGATCGGCACCGACTCAGTGCCCACGTCAACACGGAATGCACGCCACGCCCCATTTGGCAGTCGGAGCTGCTGCTGGGCCTGACTCCTTCTCGAGGTACGGGTTGCTTCCATGGGGCCTTGAAATGCAAGAGTAAAAGATTTGGCGACGTCATCTCCATGCAGTTCCACACCGTCCCCGAGAGGGACGTTTGCTTCGGTGAGCCAAGGAGCCAGGGCCGCCGCCACAGCATTCTTAGCCACCGCAGAGGATGCCCGCACCGTGAGGATGGAGAGGTCCACTTCCCTGTCCCACTCTGGGTTCGGTACAACGGGAGGACGCGGCTTCGCCTTTGCCAGGTCGAGCTCTTTTTCCAAATGCGATAGCCGGTGAGCGATGCCCGCCACAGTGCTGTCGAGCAGGTCCGATCGAGCACGCTGTGCATGGACTTCACCGTCGACACGTCGTAGCTGCTGGTTGAAGCGCTCCTCATACTTCTCCATGAGTGGGACCGTGGCCGCACTGAGCGCGGCAGGGAGCTGTGCCAGGATGGCCTCCATCGCTTTCTGTGTGAAAGCTTGCATGGCCTCTGCCTGGAATGAGTCCGAGGATTGAGCAACGTGTCCGACAGCATCATGAGATGTGGTTCCATTGGACGCAACCACCGTCGCCCAGGGATCAGGCGCACGGCCTTCCGCAGAGGTGCCAGGAGTCGCCCATGGCCTTGAGGCTGGTGGAGTCGGCCAGGGTGATGGGGAGGGCGAGGCCGTCGCTCCCCCAGTTGCAGGAGGGGCAGGAGGAGGAGGAGGAGGAGGAGGAGGACGACGAGGACGAGGAGAAGACGCTGCACCAGAAACACATACAGATGTGAGGGGAGATGTGGCACTTGCGGAGGACGAGGGAGGGGGGAGCAGCTAGCATGATGAGGGAGGAGCAGGAGTACGATGATGGGGCGGACGGCAAGGATGATGAGAGGGTCAGCAGTATTAGGAGGGGGCGGAGGAGCAGGAGGAGGAGGAGGAGGGTGACGGGGAGCAGGAGGAGGAGGAAAGAGGAGAAAGAGGAGGAGGAGGAAGAGGAGGAGGAGGGATAGGGATGAGGAGGACGTTCTAGGATGGGGTGATGAGGAGGATGAGGGGGAGGATGATGATGAGGAGGAGGCGGAGGAGAGAGAAGAGAGGAGGGAGGAGGAGGAGGAGGAAGAAGAGGAGGAGAAAGGAGAGAGGAGAGAGGAGGGAGGAGGAGGAAGATGAGGAGGTGGCGGAGGAGGAGGAGGGAGGGAGGGAGGGAGGGCAGGAGGAGAATGAGGAGCAGGAGCAGGAGCAGGAGGATGAGTAGGTCGATTGCACCTCTATAAAAATGTTTCAAACCCCTAGACCAACACAAGCGTTTCAGTAGAATCCCCAGGCGCTCCTATCTGTCATAGGGGTTCTAAACTTCGACGTATGCAACAGTGGTGCTCTGTTGCACACACTTGCTGTGGTGCACGCAGGCGCCGTGGTGTACACAGGCGCTGTAGTGCATGCAGGCATTGTGGTGTACACGGTTGCTGTGTTGCACACGGCTGGTGTGGTGTACGCATGCGCTGTGGTGTACAAAATCGCTGTTGTGCCCGCAGGCACTGTGACACACACACACACACAGACTAGCGCTGCGTTGTACGCGGCTGCTGTGTGGTGTACATGGGCGCCGTGATGTACACAGGCGCTGTGGTGCACGCAAGCACTGTGGTGTACACAGGCGCTGTGGTGCAGATCGCCACCTACATGGTGCTGCTACCCCTCGTCGATCATTCCTGACTACCTACCAGAGCACGCCAACCCAACCCGAAGACCCGAATTTGACCCGAATTTCGGGTTGGGGGGGGGACGGGTTTCATGTGTTTTGTTCAATGTTCCCCGACCCCCTCCCATTGTAAGTGGAAGGAAAATTGAAGCCTTGGGGTTGGGTTGAGGTCGTTTGGCGGGTGGTGAATTCCTAAGCATTCCCAGACGCCGCCGGCGAGAATCGCGACGTCACCGGCCCTCGAAAACCCACCCAACAATCTGGACACACCCCGGAAGCGCAGGGCAGAGGAACGCCACGAAGAGGGAGTCAGGCGCAGTCATGTCTGCACGCAAAGGCACAGGCGGAGCTCCGCGCGAGCATCCGGATTTGGGTGGCTCACGGATCAAAAGAAGCAACAGGCAAGTGGGGAAGGCAGAGGTCGAGGACACAGTCCTCGACAGAGAGGAGGGAAAAGGAACGACATGCGCTCTGCAGGCGCGGCCACTTCACCGCATCAGCGACATCGGAGAGAACTCGCAGCGAGCGGACAACTCTAGGATGGGCTGGGGATCCGCCGCAAGACAATGCAAAACGCATGGCAAGTGGAACATGGAAGAGGGGAGACATGCGTAGAGGAAGGAAGGATGAGGAAGATGCGGATGGGGGGCACTCGAAGGAGGCTGTAACGCAAGGCTCAGGACAAAACCTTTGCTGCACGCGCGCCCACTCACAGCCCAGGACTCCAAAGAAAACCTGGGGGCCCTGGGGCGAAGGGGACTGTTCGGCAACGGGGACATTGAGTTCCCAAAACACAAACCAGGAATACACAAAATTTCGCGCCATCGGCGCCACGGAACATTACGCACCGTTTTTTGTTGATATCGCAAGCTTGTGAAGCTCACCTCAAGAAGTACCAGAGGACCATTCAGTCTTGAATTTCGGTGTCTGAATTCTTACATGTATGATTCCTTTCCGAAGCATCCCTCCTGCTCACCCTGACCTGCTCCGTCCACCGTCTGCAACGGAGACGGCCGAACGCGGTTCCACGGAGTCGAGGCGCGCACACGCTTGACATCGATTCAAACAAGCGGCAGCACGCTACGCCTGACTCGCGCGTGAAGCGGTGGCAACAAAATCTGGCACGCAACACAGCGCCCCCGCTGGCTGGCCGTCCCCTGCCTACTCCACCGACCGACTGCTCCGGCCTCTTTTGCCACCATCCCTCCTGCTCACCCTCGACTCCTCTTTTCACTATCGGCAAACTGCTGATCGCGGTGTCACGGAAAAAAGGCGCGCACACGCTTGCCATCGATTAAAACAAGCGGCAACGCGCCAAGCTTGACGACCATTCGGACGACCTGGCAGCACATCGGAGGCGCGAGGTCCCCCATCTTGTTTTGCAGGTGGGAGTAGGGAGGAGGGAGAGGAGGAGACCGCACAGATGCCACAAACGTCAGCATTACAATCACAATCGCCCTCATCGGCATCATCTCCACCATCATCTCCACCATCATCATCATCATCATCATCATCAGCAGCAGCATCATCAGCAGCATCATCATCATCACCATCATCAGCATCAGCATCATCATCAGCAGCAGCATCATCATCACCCACAACCATCAACGAGGAATGAGGAACAGGAGGGAGGAGGGGGGGGAGGAGAACGAGGAGAAGGAATAGGAGGAAGATGGAGGTTCCGCTCCTGGGCGTAAGACGCTGGGGCAAGGGGTGAGACGTTTCAGGAGGAGTGCGGAGGGGTCTGGAGGAATGGGAGAATCCCAGAGGATTGGGAGGAGTGCGGAGGGTTGAGGGGAAATGGGACGGTTGTGGGAGGTGTGGAAGGAGTGCGGTGGCGTGGGGAGAACTGGGAGGGTTGCGGAGGTTTCGGGGGGAGTGCGGATGGGTGGGGAGGAATGGGAGGGTGGAGGAAATCTCTTTGGGGAGGAGTGCGGAAGGGGTGAGGGGGAATGGGACGGTTGCAGAAGGTTTGGGAGGAGTGCGGAGGGATGTGGAAGGATAAAAGGGTTGCGAAGGTGTCGGGAGGAGTGCGGAAGGGCGCGGAGGAATGGGAGGGTTGCGGAGGTCTCTTTCGGGAGGTGTGCGGAGGAGTGGGGAGGAATGGGGCGGTTTCACAAGGTTTGGGAGGAGTGCGAGGGGATGTGGAGGCATGTGAGGGTTGCGAAAGTTTCGGGAGGAGTGCGGAGGGGTGTGGAGGAATGGGGGAAAAGCGGATATGTGCGGATGTCCCGGGAGGAGTGCGGGGGAGTGGGGAGACATGGAAGGGCTCCGGAGGTTTCGGGGGGAGTGCGGAGGGATGTGGAGGAATGGGACGGTTGTGGAGCTTTCGGGAGGAGTGCGGAGGGGCCTGGAGGAATGGGGGAGGTGCAGATGTCTGGGAGGAGTGCGGAGGGATGTGGAATGATAAAAGGGTTGCGGAGGTTTCGGGAGGAGTGCGGAGGGGCGTGGGGGAATGGGAAGGTTGCGGAGGTTTTGGAGGAGGGCGGAGGGATGTGGAGAGATGGGAGAGTTGCGGATGTTCGGGAAAAGTGCGGAGGGGTGGAGAGACTGGCAGGATTGTGGAGGTTTCGGGAAGAGTTCGGAGGGGTGTGGAGGACTGGGACGGTTGCGGAAGGTTTGGGAGGAGTGCGCAGGGTGGGGGGGAATGGGGCGGATCGCGGATGTTCGGGAGGAGTGCGGAGGGGCGGAAAGAATTGGACGGGCTCCGGAGGTTTCCGGAGGAGTGCGGAGGGATGTGGGGCAATGGGGGAGTTGCGGAGGTTTTGGGAAGAATGCGGAGGGGCGTGGAGGAATGGGAGAGTTGCGGATGTTCGGGAAGAGTGCGGAGGGGTGAAAAGAATGGCAGGATTGCGGGCGTTTTGGGAAGAATGCGGAGGAGTCTGGAGTAATGGGACGGTTGCGAAAGGTTCGGGAGGAGTGCGGAAGGGTGGGGGGAGTGGGGCGGTTGCGGAAGTTTCGGGTGGAGTGCGGAAGGGCGTGGAGCAGTTGGGAAGAGTGCGGAGGGGCGTGGAGGAATGAGAGGTTTCGGAGTTTTTGTTGGCGGAGTGCGGCGGGGTGCGGACGACTGCAGGGGAGTGGCGAGGGCAGCGAAGGAGTGGAAGGCCTGCGGAGTTGGGAGTGAATGGAATTGAATGGAATGCAACGGGGGGCCTCTGTCGGAGGCCTCGCCCGAGAGGGCCTCCAGGGGGGCCTCGCGAAAATCGACGGGGGCTCCAAGACGACCCCCAAAGAGGCTCCACGCGGACTGACGGACGGACCCAGAGGCGACAGCACTGGCAGCGTCGACGGTGATGGCCGTAGTCGTGCCGCGCCAGAAGCACGACGTGCCCGTGGCGGTCGTGCAACGCTCTAGGGGTCTGCCGAAATTGTCGGGGCGCGGCATGCGGAGTCAGCCATCGGGGCCTTCCGTGGAGTTCCCGATGGGGCAACGAGGTGTGGCAGCGACGATAATGGCGACGGTGATGATGGCGATGATGGTGATGTCTGCGCGCAGCGACCCCAATCGCACGCGGCAGGACTACTTGGGTTTGAACTTAAGAGCCTCGCTTGTGACGAAGGTCGAGAAACAACGCGGGCACGGCGCTAGCTTCGGGGACGGCGGCTTGGGAATCGGCGAAGTGAATAAGTACAGTTTCAGCCGCCGGAGCAGCATGCCAGCCTGCCCCTGCGGGCGCTGCGACGACTCGGACGAGCGGCCCGCCAGCGCCGTCTCGGGGCAGGTGGCAAAAATCGGGGCGGACCCCATGTACACTTTGTGCCCGACGTGCTGGTT